TCCCAGACCGGTTTTGTGATGTGAGGCCGCCAAATGAACGGATAATGTCTTGGCCCGTCATCATCACTAGTCCCCTGCCGTGTGCATGTTTCGGTTAAGCACATGTTTAGATTACGGTTCCGTTTAGGTTTTGCTCAACCAGACAAGTATGATCCCAAAGGTTGTTAAACCATTCCTCGTTCATACAGCTCATTTAAGCAAACCTACCTTCACATGCACAAGGTGCTTGCGCTCGGTGTCCGTACTTGTGTCTGTTTCGTGCTGATGTTTACGCGCCTGTACTTACGCGTCTTTCCTCGTGTTGTAGTGTTCGTATTTTGCGCTTCCAGTTTATGTACTTGTGATTGTCTTTATACCCCAGACTGGCTACAGGCGTGCCTGAGCACGGCCATATTCCTCGTGTCATTTCAGTGTTCCTTGCGTATTTTTCTGTTACCTGCCTGTCTCCCTTCGCCCTTAAGGCTCCGATCGCTGCGCATTTTGTCGTTTCTCTGCCAAAATGCTTGTTGTGTAGGGGGGAGATAGTGTAGCATCTATCTGTCGTTTTCATCCATGTCTACGCCTTCACGTTATCCCAGGTTCTAGCGCTCGCTCGCCTGTGCTGGCGCATCAGCATTACACGCAGCCCGCCGACGGCACGCGACCCAACGTTGCAACGCGCCCGTTGCTGCGTGTATTTGCATAATAATGCAAGCGGCGCCAGACGACTCGGTATGCAGTCTAAGCCCAGCAAACGCGATACCACGCGACGGTTATCAGTGGGCGCAGTCGCGGACGAAGCCCCACGCGACCTTCACCCGTGCACCGCGCGTGCGTCACGCGTCGCTCACGCGCTGCAGAGCTGACGATTATGATTTGGGGCTTTAGCCCGCATCGACTGCTGTAGGTCATGCAGCGCCCATAACTTTTAATTTATGCAGAGCCGCCAATCAGGCGAAAGCGTCAATCAAGTCACTCCGTAAAACCTTGATGATCAGTCCAAGTACCATGATGAAAAGATTACTGGGAAATCTATAGCGCGAAGAAGCTGGAGCACTTTACCAAAGTCGACAGCGTGCCAAGAATCTCCTAAAAAGTCACAGCGTGCGACCCTGGACGTAGTGTCCGAAAAACTGCGTTCTCGTTGCAGTGAGGTGACGGCAAGCAATGAGTGCGTGATGCACGGTCAGCGGGTCCGACCATCGACTGCAGCATGGTCTGTGGCCAGCCAATAGCACGTGACGGTGCGTAGCATATGTTTGGCCTATGCGTAACCTGCAAAGAACAACTTCTTCCCTCCGGTTGTCTCGAAAGCACGACTGCCATAGTCCAATACGGGGTGTCACAGACTGCAGCTTGTTGGCGCTCAGCGAGTTCCAGTGGAACTGCCATCGCTTCTGCATAAACGACGACACTGCGGGGTGCATGTCTTGAGCTGGTAGTGGTGTTATAGGAATGCGTGTCCCTGTCGTAGCGCGCTTTGCTGCCTCGTCAGCAAGATCATTTCCGCAGATCCCCACGTGACTTGGCATCCAGCATAGTACGACTGTTTTTGTCTGCTCGATCCAGTGAGCTAAGACGCGATTGAATGTCCTGGACCGGTGGATTCGACGAGGAGCCGCCGACAGCCAGGAGACTGCTCAAGGAGTCAGAGGGAATCAAATGCAGATTGCTACCGTCCACTTTAATAACACATAGACCATTGCTGATGGCTATAAGCTCGGAAGTGTAGACCGACGCTTGTGAAGGCAGTGTGAATCACCGGGTTGTAGATCCGCACACAAAAGCGGACCCTACGCCTGCATCCGTCTTCGAACCATCTGTATAAGTCACCATGTACCCGTCAAAGGGGGTTATGTGCTCTAAGGCTGCGCCTTTAAGTTCCGTGATGAGAACGCGTTGCTTGTGCATGTTTGATAGCGAAACATCCACCCTTCGCGATGCTAGCTCCCAAGGAGCAGTCTTCATGGGTTTAGGTCTGATGACACGTCATAGATTGAGGCCGCTCGCGTCTAAAAGTTCTCTCATTCGTACATAAAAATGAGAAGTTTGTGGAGACCGTTGGCGTAGAAAAAGCCCTCGTAAGCTGCGCGAAAACACTGCTCTGTAGGTGGGATGATCTGGGAACTGCGCCAGCATGCACGTGTAGCGCGGTCCCAGCATCTGCCTTTGTAATGCTAATGGGGGCCCGTGAGCCTCCACCGTGCGTAGTGCGACGTGATGCACCGCGTTCAAAGTACGTTTGATCAGGTCTGAAGAACCGTCATAGATAAAACAGCCGTAGTCAAGTTTGCAACGAATCAGGGAACGATATAGGAGTAAAAGTGTCCTCCTCTCAGCACCGTATGATGTACGTCCCAAGCGCCTTAGGATGTTAATATATTTTAAACATTTGTCGCGGAGATGTCTTATGCGCTCACGGTATGTTAGGCGTCGGTCCAATCGCATACCGAGAAATTTGCAGAGCGCTGCAGAGCTGTCAGGTCGACTGTGATTACGCGCTGATCATGCAACGTGTCGACCCGGCTGCATGAAACATCAGGCCATGTGGATCACAGCAAGGGCTGGGTACGCCTTGGCGGTCGTGTAAAATGGGCCCTACGTTGCCAGGTAGGAGGTAAGTCAGAGCCTCGGGCCCGAGCGCACGCTCACAGCCCACGTGCCGCCCGTATTGTAACCGGTGTGTCGCGATGGAACAATACAGCACTGCCAGATAACCTTTTTGTGAAGAGTGTAACTTTGAGGCGTGCTACAGGTGGTCCTGGGCGTTACCTCCTTCGTAATGTGCATGCCCTTTTCATTCAGTGCTAGAAAGTCCTCATATGTGCAAGCACGCTGGTCGTCGTGCGAGAAAGTACTTCACTGTTCAGGATGGGGGGAGGGGGGGGGGGGGGTCGAGATTATGAACACAGTAATATCAGGAGAGTTCGTGGAGTGGTTCTTCCCTCCGTTACACCCGCCTGATGATTTGGGTTACTATGCGTCTGTCGGGCATTTAGCCTACTCTCCGCCGGCCCCCTCTGTGTCTGTCTGCCTGTCTGTCTGTCTGTTTTCGGTTTCAACATAAACGACTTGATGTAACTATGATTTAACTTTTATTATTCGTCCAGCTCTCCCCTATGCTGGGTTGTTCTTCCTTTTGCTGGTCTCTACGGACTAAGCTGTATCATTGTTTCATATATTTTTTTCCATTCTTACCACCATTCACGATGCAGTTATTCTTCCACATCCGTTAACACCTACTCACCACTGACCCCACCATTTTGCCGAACTAATCCTATCCAGTAGCACACACGGTTGGGATGGAATACTGTTGCTTGACGTCGTGCCAAAATTTGGGTTTTGGGAAGTCAAGTCACTACAACACCGAGTTTTGTTTCATGTTTTGCTAACCGATGTCTTTGCTTGTCAGTACCTCCTGTTCTCTTGATATTGAGAGGCCGCATTCTACGCCTGTGGCTTGCCAGAGTATTATTATTCAAAACGCGCCGCTCACGCAAAGAAAACACCGCTTCGTGCCTTCCCTAATCGCATTAAGTATCCCGTTTCCATTTACGCAACGCCCATGTGGGCGAACCTGCTTGGGTCCTGCATTATCAAGAAGGGTCGCGACGTAAAGGCAGATGGGCACCTTTTTTGCACCTTTCGCATTAGATTAGACGTGCCTGGTTTTATGCACAATACCAGTTTCTTGAAATCCTTCTCAAAGCTCAGAATTTCCGTTTAAGTCAGCCGCCCTGGCGAAAGAAATCGCAGTGGACTCCTTGATCCCCATTACGAAAGTAAAAGTTTCATTTGCCACGCTTTTCCGGTGTTCTGTTATGTTTGCAGCATACAAATTCGTCAAAATCCGTCTGTAATAAAAGCTACGAAAGCTTGACGCACTCATATTAGGGGAAAGTATAAACAAACAAGATGCATCACGCAAATTCAACGAAAGGCAAATAAATGGTTTTTATTTCTTCCCCACGGGGGAAGTCACAATAACCCTTTTCTAAGATCATGTTGGCTTTTGGAGGGTTTTGGATAAAATGTTAATGTAACTGTTTAAATATGTTCATGTAACTTGCCATGTATCGCGATGTGCCGGGTGTACAATTTACACAGATAGAAGTAAGCAAGCAAACCACACATGCGCTGGTGTAATGACCTTTTATCATCCCACAGCGATGCAACATGCATGCATATGTAAAAGCTGGTCCACGTCTTGGTGAGACCAGCGCATCAAGGTGCTTAAAGGCGAGGTCGGGAGGCAAACTCTGGGAAAGCAAAACATACCGTCACACCATACTGTGTTACTGTACAAGCCGGGAGGTTAAACACCCAGTACACATTACCGAACATGCTCACCAAGGCCCTTTTGCTACATAGGCGACACGACCATTGTTAGCACTGCACATGCGCCGGGCTGGTGTCTAGTACATCCGGGCGGGTTTATGCTCTCCGGAGACCCTTGGACCGTACAGTGCTTGTATCGGGTTACCTATGGTGAAACATGTACTTTTAATCGGGACATAGGTACTCCGACAGACTTTAACCACAGGGATAATACAAATTTCATGGCAAATTGAGCTGTCTTCGGCACACAGGGCTAGACGTGCATCAGACAATACACGGGAGACGGTAGAGACGAACCCTCCGTCCATGGGTCACCAGTGTCCAGTGACCAGTGACCAGTGACCAGTGACTAGTGACCAGTGACCAGTGACCAGTGACCAGTGACCAGTGACCAGTGACCAGTGACCGGTGACCGGTGACCAGTGACGGTTTACCAGTGCCCTTTGACGGTATCGTGTACCCTCAGACGATACAGATGACTACAGACGGTCGGTATAGATGGCCTCAGCCGGCATAGATGCCCTCAGGCGGTACAGACGGCCACAAGGGCTATCAGTTTGACCTCGGGCGGTACACACGTGACCTCAGAAAGTCCATGTGTGTTGGCGGTTCACGCGTAATCAAAGACAGTGCACGTGTGACAGTGGTGCACGCGTGGCTTCCGGCGGTACATGCGTGACCTCAGATAGTTCACGCATGACCTCAGACGGCGCAGCTGGACGAGTGGCCGGACAGCTGAACGTTGCGGCCGAAGACCATGCGGACGTGCTCGGCGCCGAACTGGCCGTAGACGAAGATGTCGCGGGCCGGGTAGTGCAGCTGTCGCAGCGAGCTCAGAGTGGAGATGATCATGGTCGGACCGCCACACAGCACCATCTGGCGAGACGACAGGACATGCGCCCTCACTACACGGTGGCGGTAAGGTGTACACGGTAGAAAAGTGCTCCAAAGCAGTCACAGGACATGAAGGTTTTTGGTGAAATTTCCTGCGGTTTTTCACTTGCCGGAACGCACGCCGTGCGACCGCTCCCTACCACAGACCAACACAGATCCCGACCCCGTCGGCCGGACTCCGCGCCGCGCAGACACCCCTCGCGCTTCTGACGATCACTCCGGCGCCAGTGTTTCTCCCCAGCGCAGGCATGCGAGCGGGGCTCTTGCGGGTATATTTCATAACAGCGCACGTTTCTTCGCACGGTATTGTAACTCATGAAATCATATTTCACGTTCCTAATTCGATGCAGGCGCTTACGCACACACGCCCACACACACACACACACACACACACACACACACACACACACACACACACACACACACACACACACACACACACACACACACACACACACACACACACACACACACACGCACCCGCACCCGCACCCGCACCCGCACCCGCACCCGCAACCCGCACCCCGCACCCGCACCCGCACCCGCACCCGCACCCGCACCCGCATCCGCACCCACACCCGCATACACACAGACGTACGCGCACATGCACACGCACACATAAACGCAAGCGCAAACGCACACAGGGATCACTCACACTTTCCACCGCACCAAGTGCAGGTCGTTCCATACCGTCAGCCTGCAGTGCCTTCCTTGGAGTTTAGCAACAGTGCTGTATTACCTTGCAGCGGCCTCCATTGGGTGTTGGCACCGTGTGTCGGATCATGTCGGTATCGATGAAGCCTTCCTCGCCGTCCCAGTTCTCCGGTGCCTCGCCCAGGCTGTATAGGACTTTCAGCCGCTGGTCGGTGCCTGGTGAAAAAGACAAGGTTAAAAAAGAAAACAATCCCGTTGGAAACCTATCAACCTCAAAACTGGATATTCACTGGTAAGGTCCCTGCCTGAACACTGATGATCCTTCCAGTGATCACAGGTGGGGCGGGCCACTGACCATTCTCTGACCCTGGGACGGCGGTGGGCGACTGACCCTGGTATTTGTCCAGCTCGTCCTTGAGCAGGACGTCGTCGATGGTCTCGGAGTAGTACAGCAGGTGCACCTGGGTGCGGTCCTGCGGGTCCGCCATGATGGAGCGCACCAGCTGCAGACAGGGCGTGACCCCGGCGCCCGAGGCCATCAGGGTCAGGTGGTCCGTGGTGTTGGCGTGGTACTCGAAGCCGCCGCACGGACCCATCACCTCGATCGAATCTCCTGCGGACAGGCAAAAGGGCTTTCAGTCCTCGCCATAGGGCAGTGTGACATGCAAACATGTGAGACGGCTATACGGGAATCTCGTCGGCAGAGTACAATCCGGAGCAGGCACCGACATGTGGGTGCCCGACATGTCGGTTTAGATTAGTAATTCTTGGGAAAACAGGACCCTCAATAGCGTTTTATACTTGCGGTCATGTGCCGCTCTGAAAAGAGCCAAGTAAAATCATCCGAATAAGAACAAGTTTACAGTAGATTGGTCATGTCATAGAAAAGTTGTTGTCCGGCGTCGCATGCAACAGTATGAAGTAGGTACAACTTAGGACACATTTACAGCATGTGTGGCATTCCTCCGAGACTCAAAGGTCAGTGAGTGTACAAGTTGCACTGTATTGTTAGTACTCTTTCTGAGAGCTTCTTCGACAACTGCGAAGGCATGTCATGCACCTGGCACGATAGGCCCAGTTAGATCCAACCAAAGCTCTATAAAGTAGTGAAAAAGTTTTAGGCCAGTTCGTGCAACAATCGAGCCTAAAACCTTTAAATATATTGAAACACACTCTCAGGGGAAAGCTGGTAGGACAACCTTCAATCGAACCCTATCTCTCTTCATTCAACGAAGCCAACTTAACCTCAGAAACAACCCATATTTCTCTCCCTTAAAACAATGTTTGGGTCTTGGCAGTGGCCTTGTTTCCTACGGAGACGAACATAGTTTACTAAAAAGAACACAGTTGGATCTGTCCCTCGTCAGCCGTGTTAATTGAAGTACTTATCCAAATGGCGAGGTCGAGAACATAAGTGTTGTACGTGCCCATGAAGCCACGTTTCTAGTAATGCCAGTTGTCACAATCACAAATATCGCAATGTTGACAATGCCGCCTTGTGAGGTGTCATCCTATTGTGAGCATTGTCTCAACAAAATTCAGCCTACACGACCCTGACAATTTTTCCTAGAAACAAGAGCTAGCTCGGCAAACACACATCCATGCGTCCTCTTTTTTGTACATTTGTAGCGCTTCATTTAAACACCTATCTTGCGTGCCGTGTCATAGCCCCATGGGCTTTTCATATTTTATAACATAGCTATGTAATGACAAAAAAATAGATGAAACATACATTATGTGAACATGTAACATATCATTAATGTACGATATGATATGAAACATAATGTAACATATCTAATGATTTCATGCCATGCCATATAACAAGCAAAACTATGTTGCTAACAATAAACGCTGTTGTTTATAACTAAACAAATATGTTGTTTACAAGCTTCAGGCACGGACACGTCAAAATTCAGCAGATGGTCCGACATCCATCGATTTGACTGAATTCCAGTTGGGTCATATCTATGTTCCTGTCAAAATAATGGATGATATATCCACACTGTGAAATAGATCCTTCTGTCGCCTAAAATAACACATTAGATTAATGTCCTGAGGACTGAGGAGGAGGATTAGATTAATGTCCTGAGATTAATGTCCTGCTGAAATTCAGCAGATGGTCTAATGTACGTTAATTTTTCTTGAATTCACACTGGTTCACATTTATCATCGTGTAATGGTATTTGATGACATCTTCCCAACGTGACGTCAATGTTCCTGTCATATGATGTTATAAATACCCAGTGTACTTGTACTATTTCCACGCTGCCAAGCTCCGAATGACACATCTAGCTGTGGCAGCCAGTGTTTTTAATTATTATTACCATTGTTGTTAATAATTATTACTGTAATTCGGCAGCCGTGTAAATTTGTGCACCTTTACAAAGGGCGAGACGGTAGACAAAGGTGATTTTTCTGCTTCTTAAGGGAAGTGTCAACTGGTATTATCAACCATTGTAGAAAAACACAATACTGAAAATGTTGTCTTGTGAGACACTAGTCTCCTGTGGGCATCGATCCCACATAGCAGAGCCTGTATGACCTCGAAGATCTTTCTTTCAAACAAGAGCTAGTTGGACCAAAACGCATTCGGGCGCCCACATTTCGTACATTTGTAGAGCTCCATTAAAATATCCAGCTTACGTGTCGTGTCACAACCCCAAAGGCTTTCCTTGTCCTATAACATATATATGAAACGACGAAATAAAGAATACATGAAGTATATAACGTATCAAAATATATCGTATCATTGATAGGAAGCATGGCATGAAATTTGATAAGTAAAATACCAATATTTCATATAATATCAAGTAACCAAAAATGTGTCCACAGTAAATGTCGTTTACAACTTAGAAAACACGTGTTTATAAGCCTCACGCCGGACACGTCAAAATTCACCAGATGTTCCCACATTCATCGATTTTACTAAATTTCATCTGGCTCATAACTATGATAATATCTATGATATATCTATGATACGATAGACATATGAGATATGATATGTCGTATCTATGACATCATCCTATCGCTATAACGAGTGATATCCCCACAAAGTGCTATCAATTTTCCTGTCATCTAATGTAACATATCTAGCCAGCATCATTTATATGTTTCCAAGCTCCCAACGAGGTATCTAGTTGTGCAGCCGGTGTTGCTATCACGGCTGCACAGGTTGTCGCTCACCCGGCTTAAGCTGCTGGAAATGGTGCGACAGAATGCCAGCCGTCTCGAACTTGAGGATGAGCTGCAGCCGGTCGGGCTCGTCGGGTAGAGACACGGGTGAGAAGTAGCGCTCCTGCACCGGGTGGCCGGCGGGTCGGATCCGCACCTGGACACACAGCAGTGGTGAGATAGACAGTGTCCACGTGTGTCTACACATGATAAAACTGCGTGGGTGGAAAACTTAACAGTGCAAACAAGCGTCTTCGAATTGCTGGTTTCATATTTATTCCATCCTCATCGTCCCGGGGGTCTACAATACTTCACGTTATTTGATAAACATACTTTGCGGGACTCAGTTCGCGTGATCAGATGGTCTCACAACACTACCAGTTTCTCAATGGAAGGACCCATTGGACGAGACGTGCCTTGACATACTGCCCCGGCAGGCAGCCGCTGTGCTTGTCCTTGCTGGGGTACGCGAAGTCAAACTGCTCCATGTTGTCGCCGATGGGTGAACGCTTCTGGAGCGTCATCTTGGTGTAGCTGTCCGGACTCAGGCCGGGCGTGCACTCGCGGCCATTCAGCGTCAGCGTCTGGAAGTTCCAAAGGTTTTCCAACAGAAAAAAACAATATATCATGCCTAGCTTATTATGTTTTTCATGTTTCTATGGGCAAGAAAGCTATATCCTGAAAACGCCAACTCTAAAGAATGGCGAAATTGAATGGCATGTGCAGAGCCGTTTTGATCACATGAAACTCGCTGTTAGTATGGGATAGCAACAGGGTGACAGATGCCGGATAGAACGAGGTCTGTGCATCATTTGGAGCCTAAAACTAGAAATACACGAGATGCGTTTTGTAGACTAAAATTGTACTCTATCCTAAACATTAAGCGCCCGGTAGCTCAACGTAACGTGGCGTAGATGCTTAAACCGTGATTGCACATATAATTCATTTTCGAATGGTAAGCCCCGACTTCATGCAAAAAAAACAAGGAATTTTTACATTTCATAACATCGACAGCATTCATTTCTTGTTAGCATTAGTTCAACATATTTCATGGGAAGTTCGCAAACACATTATAAAACGCCCTGACCTTGAACGCACGGTCATTTGATCATGGATCTGACCCGTCACCAACTAAGCTACCCAACCCATTGAGAATAGATCGAAAGTTGGAAAATTCACGGCGCGCCCTAACTGAAAACTTAGCTGCCGGCAGGCCGTGAGACTTTGGCATCTGCAGACAAAAGATGCTCAATGGGTTGGCACAAAATAATCAAGCAGTCTTTCTTTTGGTGCTGGGTTCATCAACACTGTCGTCATATAATTCAGTTTAAGCTTCGTGAAAAGCAAGCCTTCCACACGTGAACCCTATGGGCTAGTAGGAAAATACACCGTAGAGTTGCATGCTGCCAACGTACTTCAGTAGAGGCTGGGATAGTGAAGTACCCATGAGCTGCGATAGCTTGCCTTATACCGGCTATTCCTATGCAATTTTGGTTGAGCACGTTTAAACGGAGTGTTCCACATTTACATGTTTTTTTTTAACTGAAAAAGTCATCTTGAAGACAGTGTGGTGCAGTTCGCAGCTCTGCCCCATAAGTCCTTGTAGTTTCCGAGCTACATGCTCGGAAACAAGGAAGAACTTTTCACGCGGAGCGATACAAAGTCACCTTGACATTCACGTCATAATCACGCCATCGAAATTCTGCAATTCCACGTGCCATGTGGCCATCAAAGCAAAAAACATAATGATCGAGCCATTTATATCTGGCGTTCGTGAGCACAGTTTCCAGACATAACGGCCGTCAACGGGATCTCATTCAATATTTTGCCAGATGCGGTAACGTAACCAAGCAATCACGTATCGGGGAGCATATGTACTAAACAGAGAAATTGTCAGTAGCACTTTGTTGCCAATTAAAGGTGTATCAACAGTAATAAGTGAGCTTGCTTCTTCCGATCTAATGCTGGCTTCGAAGTCTTAAAATGTGAAACACTCGATTTGGGCAAATTTTGAGGGGTGGGAGAACACCAACTCTTCGTACTGCAAATATTTTCTCCTTCTAAAAATACCAAGATGCCGGTGTTCCAACCTTACTGTTCCCGAGGGTAACCGACCGACCTTGTTGACGTAATGCGGTGGCCCAGTGCTGAAGGGGTTCTCAAAGTCCTCATCGTCGATGCTGGCGACCTTGTCAGCCGAAAGGCGACCATTCTGCACGTCCTCCATCAGCTCTTTGGCGATGGCCTCCTTCTGCTCGGGGGACATCTTCTTGAGTTCGTGGTGCACTGCGCGCGTGTTGATATTCTGCTCCCTGTCAGCGCAAAGCAAAGGATTCTCGTCTGTAGTTAAGCATCATGAATATGCTTCCTTTGAAACTGCCAATGGTGTCATGGGATCCACGGCGCTGCCATTACATGCGATATTATCCGCAGTCAAAAATGATGGTGCATGTAAACTTTATAGCTGGGATTAGTGAAGTTCGATCGCAAAAATACGGCTCACTTACCAGTAGTCCACGGCGTCCATACCAATAAGCACGGCTTTGCCGACGAACTGTCTGAGCACCTCGTTGCTGGGTCCCATCACCCACCCGGCCTTGCCGTCTCTGAGCAGACGCTCCAGACCTGGTGGCCAACGGAGGAACTAAGTCGCCACAGCCACCAGAGTTGGCCGGGCGGTCAGGAGGGCACTCTATAGGTGGACACGGCGGATGCAATGAGCATTGAGGAGTGCCGGCCCCGCCAGGTCATCATAGCATTGTCAACGCTCATGTGAGTTGTGTGCCCTTGGCGTTCAGTCCGAGGTGCCAGCTGATCGATATTTGTAGGCGGGCGAAGCGCACCTTATCGTGAGGGCCTCAGACGACGGTCCGGTTGTCTTTCCTTCAGTTGAAATCAGCCAAACATTTGTTTCGACTTCACGGGTGCGAATAAACATGCTACGATATCGTCACCCCCTTTTGTGTGTCTCAGCGCATGTGATGCATGTCCATCCTCAAATCGAACAACATATAAGCAGATCTAGAAGGCCTAGTTCCGCAAAGCCGTATAACGAATGGAGCAGGTGGCTTATTGCGTGTGACCCTTGACATTGGGATCAGCATTGGGTCAGCACAGGTGAGACCTAACCCCGTGCGTTGTGAGACAACGTGACAGTGTTTCTTGAAAGCATTATGTACCCGTAGCTGGGCTGATATCAAGCGTAATATATCACTACGTGCACATGACATTGAAACAAGGGGGACGCACAGGGACATACCGTATTTGAATATATTTCAAAACGTGCAATGAATGAGCTAAATATGGCGGTTGGGGTAGATGACTGACTCCTTGACGTAATTGCCAGTTGCACAATTACAGGTTTCAAAACATGTAATTATGAGTCCTGCGTGGAGAGCTTCGTGTTTATTGTTAGCATATATTAGTTATCTTCTTCAACCAACTATCGGAACAGAACCCCTATGCTTTCCCTTTCGGGCCATAAAGCTCACCCAAGTCCACCTTGTACCCAGAGCCTCCTGCCGCATGCAGCATCTTATCGGTTACCACGTTCACGTTCTTGGCAGCGGAGAACTTCATTTGCCACAGCCAGGACAGGAACTTGGCTCTGCGAACAGGACATGCATATCTGGTAGCCGCCAGTGGAATATGTGACTGCTGCCCAAGTGCATCTGTACAAGTCATAATTCTGCATTTCGCAAAAATCAGCACGTGGTGAGCGATAAATGGCCGCACAAACCCTCACAGCTTAACACGGGCAACGCCAATGCCACGACCGCCGACCGACGGCCCAACACAGTCTACTCCTGGAGCCGCACCTCGAAAACGGCGGCTCGTAACGAAATGAAATTCACACAGCGAGTTAGATCATCGAATGGGACGCTGGCAAATCTGCGCTGGCACGGGGGCGCGCGACACGTGTATACGAGCTGAAAAGATGAAATTGACCATTTTTTTTACCAGTTTTACGTTTGGGTCACACCTCGGCGCCCATCGCATATTAAGGATAGACCTTAGATTTCCCAACGCTTACAATTGCAGCAGCTACAACTTCAGCATGCATCGCGAGTTTTTTTGCGATGCATACTGCGAACAGATGCGCTGCAAATTGCAAGACATGCTGCAACTGGTGGCTTTTCACATATTTGCGTCGAATACAAGTCACTACGGCTAGAGCTGTTAAGAATTAAGTGTCAAAACTTAACACGCGCTCGGGTGGGGGAGGGGTCAAATTGACCCCCGAATGGTTTTCCAGAATGGTTTCCAGAATGGTTTCCAGAAATTTCCAGAATGGTTTCCGACGGCGCGGCGTAGCCTCGCCAAATTTTGTACAGCCGTAGAAGATTCAATAGCCGATTGTTTAACATCACCAATTTAGATGCACCTTGTAAGGTCAATGACCTATGGCAGGTCAGTCAGGCCATGGTTTCAGCGAAGGGAAATTCTGGGGAATCGTCCAATCTGGTACAATAACGGAGTGTTTTACGAAGCCATACATCTCTGAGATGCTTTCTTGGGCAACACAAATATCGGATGAGCAAATTACGTTGACCTAAGGTCAGGTATGAAGATCGTACCAAGGTCACAACCAACCTGATTTATTATTCTAGAGCTTGCTGTAGGATATAGTTTGTGGTGCTCATTTCCAATTTATTGACAGCAAGAACCGCATTATACATCGTCCATTGGCTTCCTAGAGGTCAGAAAATGTCATTGACCTAAGATGAGTCGGGTCGGCATTTTGTTTTATGAACATACTGCCTAGCGTAATCTTTGTTGCTTATTCAAATGCAAAACTCAGAGCAGTCTTGTATGATTTTGGTCACCATGACCTTCAAAGGGTCAAACAAGGTCACTGACCCCAAATGGACTTTTGACCTTTTGCTTAGAAAGTTTCCTAGGTTCTGGGGGGCAGTTCGGAGACCAACCTAGAATTTCCCGTTGTTTGACCTTATTTGAAATGGAAACTTATGACCTAGGAAGCTCAAACTTGAACCTGAGTGAGTTCTCGTACAGGTCAAGACACCCTGCAAATTTGGTGTCTCTAGCTTTCTTAGTTCCCCGAGATCTCAGGAGGGCCAAATTGAGCCCCCCCCCCCCCGAACGAAGGGTACCTAGCCGACACCCGGGCGCGTCTTAATCACCATGTTGGCCAAGCTGTCCTTCCTCTTTACTACTCCTTTGTTGATGGCTTTTACAATATTGGCTCGCCAACGAGCCTGGGAAACCTGCCGCATGGCGCTTTTTACGCCGCGACAAGGTGCTGCCCCGGCTCCCGGCAGCTCCAACCGAACGTTCAAGGCCAACCGGCCGTCTGCATACGTGACTGGATTCCGACGACGGATCGGAGCGGCCCGGCAATGGCACAGCAAGATGTGCTATGCAACTTGGTAAGGTCGCATGTATGATGTTCCATGCACACAAAAATGCATTTCGTTCTCTTCCACTGGCCCACACGTTTTGTGGCACATCTGGGCACCCAGGAGACGGACACACAGTGGCGCGTTTCGATGGGGAAAAATATGCAACGCCAGACTGTGCAGCCCCACGGCCACGTGTCGCGCCTACACGAGGTGGCAAGGTGGATTTTGTTGCTTTCAGCGATGACCACGTTTGGTGCCACATTTCGGCACTCAGGATTTGGAGGGAATCGGGAGTGCAACGCTTTGATAAATGTAGCGTGCAATCGGCCGTTGAGAGAATGGCTCACACGTGGCACGTGTCATGGATGCACACGCGCTGGGAAGTGCATTTTGCCACTTTCAATGAGTCTACATGCTTTTGCGATATATCAGCGCCTAACAAGCAGAGTGACTCTAGATTGGCATGCCTCGATAGGCAGTCTAACCGCAAATCACGTGTTTAACATATGATGTTGCACATGTAATGCGCGCGCTGGCTGTGAAGATAGACTTTGCCGATTTCGTCGGTTTTTCCGTTTTAGGCCATATTTTTGCAACCCAAGGCACGTATCGACACGGCCTGGTATGCTTTCATACGGTAGTCAACGGGCAGTCGTGTGTCCCCAGGGAGTGCACGCGCATGGGTCACGTGTCACCCCCACACACGCCGAAATGATAAGACTTGTGGTTTATGACAGGCTTACCGGTTTTTGGCCACAACTCGGCACCAGGGCATGTTACGACGGGGGGCTGGAATGCTGCGATAGGTCATTGGACGGGCCTATCGCGAAGTGTCCTTTCGCAAGTGTGTGGTCGCATGTGCCATGTGTCGAGCACACAAGAGCTCGTAAAATGGGTTTTGCTCCTTTCTAAGGGTTTACACGTTTTTGCCACGTCTCGGCATCCACGCACGCCCTCACTCGTAGTGGCATGTACTGATAGGGATTTGAACAAATAATGACGTCCACATGATTTCAATGCGCACGTGTTCCGTGTCACGAGCGCACGAACCAACAAGATGGATTGGCCTTTACCAACGTTGTTCACGTTTTGCGTCATAGGTCGACACCTAGAGCAGCTAGAGACGTGAATTCAGCTACAAAACATAAACCATTTTAATTTCCACATCAAGCGCAGCGAAGCAAGACTGCAAACGCCTTTGTACCCTAATTATGGCTGTAGGATATAGCCATGAGTTTGTTCAGCGAGTAATGCCTCGGCATGGTACAGCCGTCCTCGAGTAGCACTAAATCTGATGTTTGCGTGTGCTAACCATCATTTAATTACGCTGTCGACTGAGACCATTACAAAACGTGCCTTAACTGGCGGCAATGTCAGCTAAAGCTACTACACTGACCAACCCATCGACCATCGAGTCGGTGCAGACGCAACACACGGACAGGTACGAGAATTGCTGGAACAAATATTGAAGAAAACAACGCGAACACATTTGCTTTAGAGAAGCTATTACCCCACGTTTTTTCGTGTCCGGCTCTCATTGTCAGGGCTCATAAAAAGATTCGACCACAAACATCCGAAAAAGGCATCCTGCTGATGCTACACGTTTCTTAATCAGTTGTGGTAGCCATACCCACGTGAGCCCTACCCCAGTTTTCCAACCCGTGATGTCTAAGTTCCCCGGGCCTCACTGACCTCGGCATGTACGTGATGTCGCTGTGCTTTTCCCAGCTGTTGTTGTCAGTCACTTGTCCATGCCCCATGGCGAGCGACGCGTTCATCAGCCGCGTCGCGTTCGTGTCGCATACGCATTCGCCGAAGTAGTCCTGGTGGGGGCGGACACAGTTGCTGTGGAGGAGCCTTGGAAAGAACAGTCACACTATGACCATGCATGCATGCGGTGAGGAGTGAACTAAACTGTACACATGGCGCAACCCACATGATCATAACTGTACCCCATTGTGTAAAGGTAAGGAAGGAGCACCAGAACACTGAATCCTCTTCAGACCACTGGACAACCCAGTGCGCCTTCCTACCCCAACACTGACCTGGATGGTCCGGGTAGTCGCACACGCGCATGCCCACGTCGCCGTGGGTCTTCCTGTGACGTGCTTCTTTACCAGGTCGATGCAAGCCATAGAGATACCGTTCCAGCAGGGCCGAAGAGAGCAGTAGGAAGAACGGATCCACGCACTCATCATTTGCTCGCGCGCCATCACCTGAAGCACAGTGCAGCAAATGATAGATGTTTCCTTAACATGTTGCAGTACTTGACATCGCTTTTGCAGTAATTCAGTGCAGTCGACACATTTTTCGTTCAGGGTTAGCTCTGTGATGGCCCTACAGACGTAGATAAAAAGCTGGTGAGATAGCCATGCAGTTTAATGAGCATAACGACGTAGCTACATGTTTTAATGTCAATAGCTCTAAACACCAGTGGTAGCAATTGTAGTGTAACACACCCTTTTCTCGGTTCAATCACCTACACACTTTTCATGGAAATGCAAACAAATGACGCACTCTGATGGCCTTGCATGCCACCGGACAGACAGTTGATGTTTCCCAATGACGTCATAACCAGGACATCCGATGACACCTCAGCTGAAACGCGGCCAGCGTGCTATATCACTGCGTCTTCTAGCACATCATCCAATCATCAGCACCCACAAAGACCCTTGTTACCGACATCTAGGCGTGATCTCCCGCTCTAACGACGCCGCCACGTGACTTACCGATTGGGTCCGATTCTCCTGTCGTTAGGCAGGACTCCCCTCGCAATATAGCGGTCCCGACTGGTTTCCGTGCAAACCCAGGGAAAGCCATTCGTTGGCATTGGCTCGCCCCCTCGTCCTGCAACGGCCCCCATCCGCCCATGGGTTATGTCGGTTATAATAGGTAATATACAACGAGCAAGGCTGTGGAGCACTTCACACCAACACATGTGCGGACATAGAGTAACATATTTCGAGATTGATTCGTCTCTTAGGCGGTAAATTACTAAAGCACTGTGTTGTTGTGTGATCGTTCTCGAAACAATAACCATGCACGTTAAATGGCTGTAAAATACAGTTGTGTGTATGCTTATATTTACTGTTTTATAAGCTGTGTGGAATGCGTTTGCTTTGAGTAAAAGCGATGAGGTTTCGTTGAGGTTGTTTCTAGTCTGCTTTATGATCACTGATATTCTCAGGACCATCTTGCTTTTCTGAAAACCACTACCGAAAGTATAAGATCTGTTCCATCACCTTTACCATCGGAATCGAATTCATACGCAGTACTGGTAAGGACAAGTAAACCGAAAGCATTCCAAAATCATATGAGTCGCATATAAGCCCAAACATGCCTGTGCTCACTTCATAACCAGGAAGCAGGAGAGGTCTGCGAAGTGCCAGGCTTGGCACCGGGGCTGACTGTCTGGATGGCGTACCAGTCAGCAAACCCGGCCGAGGTGGCCCACGAGCCGTACTTGAAGCAGCTTCACATGGTTCTCGTCGAGCTGACGACACTTAGACGACAGCGGGACCAGAAGTGGCCGCCTGGGGCACGCGAGGGTGCCACAGGTCACAAAGACGTCCGGCCGATAACCATTAAGACGACAGGGGGAAACTTGGTCCTGGGCACGTTGGATTCTGGGGCATGGATCCGGGGCAACACTTGGATTTCGATGGGACACGAAATATTGCCATTTGGCACGGAGGAAACATTTCGCTCAGAGCTATGCCCATTAGGTGCCCAAGAATCGCGGTGGGCATGTAAAGTAGTTTGTACAGCATCATGGATGGAAACAGACTACCAACTCGACGTGGGTCTGCTTCCTTTTTCCAGCAGTGTCTTGGTTAGTGCAAACCCACCAGTGCTTTGTGCTCGACACATTTAGTCTCTTGCAGAACGCGTTGCCGTGCTTCCTCCGACATGCTCCTTCCCATGTTCCAAGCTTTTCGACTGTCTCCTTGGTGCTTGGCTTCTGAAGTTTGTTTTTTGTGTCTGGTTTGTGATGCCTAGTCTCATAAGTGTCCGCTCGGGACTTCCGGTCTCACTGGTATTCGGCTTGTGAAGTCTGGGTTGCTTGGGTTCTGGCTCGTGATGCGTGGTTTGCATGGTGTACTTTCGTGACGTCCAGTCGATCTCGTGGAGCCGGTCTCCTCTGGCCTGTATAGGACGTCATGTTTCCCTGGTGTCTGGTCCGGGACGTCTTTTCTCGATATATTAATGATTAGATAGGCAGTCTTTCTATCGCGAGCAACGTGCGGACATCACCGGTTCAAATAGTTGCCAAACTAATGCGAGATGGAAGTTTTTGCTGGCATTAACTGATCTCTAATTTACCAGGAACTGTTGATGAAAGGTTGCCATTAAGCAAAGAGATTGAAGATACTGTAAAAAACGCTGTGTTTTCACTCAAGACTTTGTGTTTTGAGCTTGGACAATATAATCAATGTTTGCATGATAACCAATACGTTCTGTTTTCAGTTCATTCTGTTTAGGTAAGTTAATTGTATTCAGGAATCATTCAAACAGGCAGCTTGCTGTTTGATTCCATACGCTTACAATAGTAGTATGAATGCAATAGTAATACATGACAACGCAAGCACATTCGCACGTTATCAACCATTCATTCCCACCACTTCGTCAAAAAATCTGAATCTATGTCGCCAACACACGTGACACAACGGCGAGCAAGCAATGATTACACAACGCGACCGTCTAAATCCTCCAACCTGGTACCAAACTCATTGTGGTTGCGAGAGGCAGTGTGATGGTGCGTACCACCGCGACCCCACGTGCCACCGACAAGCGGAGAGCTGGCAGAGCAAGGGCGCCCGCCGTGCCGTCCGGGTGGCACGCTCGCATACAGCGGTACGTGGCGTGTGGCACAGTGTGGCAACAGTGACCGAATGGCACCCGGAGCCCCCGAGTCGTTAAGGGCCCTGGATACAGCAAGGCTGGGTGACAGTCACGAGCAGCGCGCCAGCCCGGCGCTTGAACAGCCGCCGCCATCGAATCTCGCCAGCGACCTTCGGTGGCAATCCTGGCGCCAAAGTTCATCACGCCTTGCACTCTGTTTAGGCGACACGCTGCAGCGCCATGCCAGACAGAGAGGCAGTACAGAAGAGGGAGGAAGCATCGGACTGGATGGAAAGTTTACGAACCTCGGGCGTAGAGCGATGACAAATGTTACACAAGCAGAAGAGGATAGAGCTGCCCTTTTCAAAATATGGGGCATGTGCATCTCCCACGAATGGGTACTTTCAATAGTAAACCCCAGCACTTCACGGACGGTGATGGCATCATTACCCAATCAATCTAACTAATACCTTCTGGTATACTGAAGAGCATTTCTTTTCAGCACAAGAACTGCACGCTCACAACGCTAAAAAAGAGGAGCCCAATGCTTGTTTTTGTCCAGATCAAGTTGCTAAAATGTTCGTCACTGCAGATATCTCGGGATAACCTATCCCGGCGGGAGCTGTGGTACTCGGTGAAGCATGGGAAAACCCTGCGAATGTTTAACTTGGCAAAGTAGCAAATGTTGACCGTAACCAAGAAAAGCAGAGTGTTTTGCGTCATTGACAGACGTCAGCAACAGGCGTGTCTCGCCATCTGGCACCAAGCTGAACTAGAACCATGATACAAACAACGGTGAGGCCTGGCATCTAACGAATTAAACGATGACCAGATCTTCTCAACTACACACACTCAGGCCAGGCCAACCTTAATGCTGGCGAGCATAAAGCCCTAGCAATAAACCCTCCCAAAGCATTGAACGATGATATTTGAGAAAAAACAGAATCCAGTTCTGGATGTGACACAGTGCCCCAAGGCGTCTAAGACGATCTAAGGATGGGTTGCCATACACCAATGATAGTTTCATATAGCCGTCAAAAGACCCCGACCTTCCTAGAGGAATCGCGTACAGAAGAATCTCATCCCGCTCCGATTTCGTTAATAGATGCATCATTTATTGCCAACAAACAGCAACAAACTAAACAAACCATATTTCGTGACGGAAGTTTTGTGCAAACATTCCGAAATGGCGTTACACCTCAACATGACATGACCCCGAGCCACTTGTTTGCGAACATAAGCAATGAAAGCATTATCAGCTAAGACAAAATTATTGGAAAATATTGGATGGTTCTCCCTTCCGTCAGAAACACCGCTTGGGGGAAACCCATCCACCAGCTAGCCCAGCGAGGGTTTAAGGTTACATGAAAGCCTCTACAATCAATAATTGTTGCAGATCAGGAACACGATTTAAAAGTTTTTTGACGAAAAAAATATGCATCATCGAAAGAAAACAACCCTTGCACAAAGAGTTCCTTGTCCGGTTAACAGCATCCAAACGTCATTGCATACACAGGTAGGATGTTCTACGGCGTCCTATCTCCCAGCGTGATACGAAATGCCAGTCCATAATACGCCAGTATACTTTTTAAATTGAGCACTGTACTTGGAGGTGCATACAAAGAGCGGATCTATCACACGTTAAGTCACTTTCCATTATCCCTGTCGACCGGTGGTGCTGCTCTTCCATTCGGTCAGTGTCGAAACCGAAACTCTTCAAAATCCTACAACGTAAGAAACACTCGTAGAAAACAGTTTATCCCCGAGCTAAGAGCAGATCTTGAGATGCTTTGAGGCAGGCTGATGCTGGCGATATCTCTGGCGTCCAGGATGCTACTGTGAACGGTACAGCGACGCGATAGCGCAGAACACGATTACGCCGCAACGCCCGCCATCTTGGTTTGTTTGCTCTCTAGGTTTTCAGTCGGCTAATGTCCGGCTGTCGTGCCCGAGTCTGGCATAATGAGAGATGGGCACGGTGATAACCTAGGTGAAACGTTATTAGTGATCACGCCAAACACGCATAACGAGCTAGAGCCATAAACATGTGACCGGTTTGGTTGGAGGTCACCTTTGACCGTCAACGGCGTTCGATGTGTAGGTGGCAGATTTTGGTCGAAACGTATGTCAGCAATTCCCCGGGCTTGAGGCTGGCCATGGCAGCACTGCCGTTTCACCATGGTCCTTTATCTTTAGAAGCCCGAAAACGGGTGTCGATTAGGCAAGCCAACTTTTAAGCGAGCCCTCTATATTCATAATATGGTCCTTGTTAACGTTTTTAGAAAATAAATACATGACCCTCACTCCCAGCATGCAATTAGCGCGCCTATGAATTCCCCCAAAATGCTGGTGCACATGTGTAAGGTACAGTGACGCAATCAATGACGTACTGAGAAGCATAGTTACTAAACAGAGAAATTGTGTTATCTAGTGCAGTTTTTTTCTTAAATGTGTCTAACAATTGTGCGAGAGCTTGTACCATGATAGCTGATGTTGGCTTCAAGATATTCAGATCTGAAACACTTCATTTGAGCATCCATAAAAGGTAAAATATATGTCCCATCTTCCCGTATATAAAACTAATACGGCTATAAATATATCCAAATGTTGGTGCCCTTTCCTGCATATCCCAACGCCATGCTTTACGGCCGTTCGCTGCGGAACGACCGCCGAAAATCGTCCTCCGGTTACACACAACAAACTATTCTACGCGCCTCAACGCAGTGCGACATGCCACTGTTAGATGTCACTCACCGGTAGCCGGGTCACTGAAGGACAACGTCCCCACCAGCCTGTCCTTGTCCAGGCGGTGCAGCACGTCCTGGATCGTTGGATTGTTGTGGTAGCGGAAGAGCAGGGTCGACACGGCAGCCACGTGCATAGCTGAGGGCCAAACAAGACGTGTCACCCATGACAAGGCGTGCACCGATCGCTGCCGGATCACTCAGTCAATTCAGTACATGCAATGGACATGGCTGTAACACAGCTGTGACGCGCCGTGGCTGGACAGATGTCATAATGTACCATAATAGAATGCAATACGTTGACGAAAGAGGACAGGTCGTGGCAAAGTTTTGACAGCCAGCCAACATATGGTGGGCTATTCTGAACAAATGATAGCAATACTCAATCTTATTACTGACCAGGCTTGAGGCTTTTAAACTGGGCTAAGATTTGTGCGCAATATTAGACCACAGCAGCGCACTGACAGCAAAATAAGCATTCTGAATCAATGCCAGCAATGTACTCACTGTGAACCATGCCTTGGCAGGGAATGTGATATAATCCCAAAGCGAGGATACAATAACACAGGGTACTCACGGTTCAAGGATGCTTGCGCTAAAACAGGTCATGGGGATAAAAATAACTGCGCAACGAAGGGTAATTAAATAGCCAGGTAAAACTACCGATAGCTTTCAAAACAGTGTTTATTATTAAAGGCCACAATAATACGGGAACATGTGGATGAACAGTACAGCACATAATGTAAATTGGGGTTAACAAAGACGTTTTACTAAAGTTCATTTTTGCCCAAGACATGGCTCAACTTCAGTAAACTATGGCATAAACAATCGCCGAAATCACTGTAGACAATGGCGCTGCTGGCAAAGGTGCTTACTATAAGCCATGAAGGTGCTATCGATACTCCCTGTCAGCTTTGACGATGCTAGTGACATTGGTTAAAGTACACCACGAGGCTGATGGCAGAATTAGACAGTAGAGCCCATGACGGTGCTGGCAAACGCACTCCCTGTAGGTCATGGCGGTGCTACGGACATTGTTCACTGTAGACCAAGGCGGTGCTACCGACTACTCACTTTAGACCATGGCGGTGCTACCGACAGTACTCACTGTAGACCATGGCGGTGCTGCCGACAGTACTCACTGTAGACCATGGCGGTGCTGGGGCAGCCGTAGCGGGCCAGGGTCTCGACCACCATGGCGGTGCACACGTGATTCTCCCCAAGTCCGCCCAGCTCTTTCGGGACGATCGCACCCAGCAGACCCATGTCGGCCAAGGCGTTCAGCGACTCCCGCGGGTACTCATAGGTCTTGTCGCAGTGGATCTGCGTCGCAGCAGTACACCGTTATCGTCGCTATCCACTGTGACATACCTTTGTCCCGCTGTACAAGTACAGGGATGTCACGGCCGCTCGCGTATGTTCGGTCACGATGCTTGTTGTTTTGCAATGTGCTTGTTTCGCGGTTATTGAATAGTGGTGTCCCGTTCTGTGACGGCCGCTTTACATCCCAGCAATGAGTCGTAAAGCACAGCGCTAACGCTATGAAAAGAGTTAAGTTGCAGTAATGAACTGTTGTAAAGCTGAAGGCTTACTGGCCATTCCACGGATGATCCGGTCAGCGCGAAAGAAATCCTGCCATTTGTTTCTCGTTTCGAACTCTTGGCTCCCTCTACAAACGATAGAGTAACCGGAGTGCGGTACGCCCGCTCGGTGTTAGTTTTCAGCGTCTTATTCCCGTTACATCTGCATATATCGGGTAAAATAAATCGAAAACAAGTGCTATGAGTACGCAAGAGTGAATGGCCGCATGTCTCTTGTGCAAACGTGCGCCAAATACGGGCCACCTTGTTCACCTTATCCACGAAGGAAGGCGATTTCTTTTAGAATGGTGCGGCCCACCACCTGCGGACGAGAGACAATGGGCCATTTTGTCACGCTTATAGGAGGCACCTAACTCAGCAGAGAAATTGAGCTTGCACCACCTTCGCACCAGGTATGTTGATGTGGGAGTGGGAGGTGGGATGTGGGAGTATGTGAAGTGGGAGGGGAGAAAAGGGAAGAGGCTAATGACTAGTGCCAAAAAGAACAGCTGAAAATCAAACGAGATCGGCAAGGCAACTTCGAATTTACTACCCATAACGTTTGCATAGTCAAGCAGACGAAATACAAATACATCTATATCTCCTTTCTCCTGGTTATTCCACGAGGAATGAGGTTCACCGTAATGTCTTATCTATATGCATAATGTCCTCCGCAAATGCACTCAAAACCTTAGGTAGCCCTGAATGGTTTGGCCCATTGTTTAAACTAGCATTTACAACACCACTGATCCGTCGAATCCTGCTCGTTCAAACTGGCAACTACGCACAATGCATGTGACAAACATCACGAATTTCTCACGGCTACGCCTCAACCATTCTATCGCAATGACCCCTGCGTAAAACATTTTTTTGGCGTCTCTTCTCCGTTTAGTTCAATTGGTTTCTCAACATTATCATTGAAAAACAAGTTATTGTTTGCAGCGCATCACAGACCATGTTTATTTGTGAATCGAGGAAAAAGTTTCAAGATGTGAATTTTCACCTTCCTCTAAGATCGTTCCCTTAGAATACTAGATATGGATATGGAATATAAGGATATGATAAGTATATGATAAGGATATGATAAGCATATTGATAAGCTATGAAGGATATGATATGATAAGGATATGAACCGCGCATTGTAACTTGAAAAATGAGTCCGGAGCCCCATACCCCTGTCACGCCAACGTCCGCACCCACTCCCTTGAGAGAAAATTCCAGCCATGAAGAGGCGACTGACGGAAAACCTTTCGCACCGAAAGTTAGAGGAGGCCTGCAGAGTCGTGAGGACCCACCGAAATCGAAGATCAAGGGCTCGACGGTAAGACCAAATGGCACGAATGACTTCCTGCGCGCCATTTAAAGAATCACGGCCCGTAAGTTTGCCATCCTTTAAATATCAGTCAGAGGGCCTCTTGCGCCATTTGAGGACCCCTGAGGCAATGCATGCATCTGTGATGGCCACAGACCACCAACACCGACCAGTTGGCTCCCCGTTAGTCTGAAACCTTGGGATACATTTCCCAAGCAGGAGCAAGACCGGGGCCTCGACATGCATTGGCCTGGGTCCATGGACCAATGGTCGGACCCCTGTGTCGGTCAGGTCCCACAATGCCTAACAGGGGGTCCTGTGTAGGCCGTGACCTCGAGTCGGTAACAAGCTTTTTTAGGTCCGAAGAAGGACCAAAGGGCCACTCGGGACCATAGATCGAGACCCTGATTGCAAGGCTGAAGAGCCCGAAGGACTGGCCTTAGGTCACATTAGGGACCCCCCCCCCCCGCCCATAAGGCCGTGAACTCAAATGTTCGTCAAAGGACCTCCTGCATCGATTGGGACCCTGGGACAGTGCGAGCCTCTGTTTCGATCAGGGACCAATGACATCGAACAGTCGGTTTCGTGTCGGCCTGGGCCCTGGGGATCCACTTCCCACGCATGAGCGAGGCCAGACCTGCGATTTGCACCAATCGGGGTCACTGAAACCATGAGAGGGTCAGTTAGGGTCCAACAGTGCCCAACAGGGGATCCTGTGTCAGCCAGTGGCCCGAGTCGTTAGGAGCCGCGCTTGCGGG